TCCATGTTCACATAAAGGGTGCTCAACTGAAAACAGTGGACCACTTTACCTAGAGGCCCTTCATATCCGCTGCCTACAGAAGATCCTCAGCTTGTCCAGGGAAGATCGAATCCCCATAGTCATCCTCAGCAACACTGACTCAATCTGTGTGGATCAGCTGTGGCCAAAACACATCTGCGCTGGATCGGGCACACCATACACACACCTGAACACCGCCTGCCCGCCAGGTCCTCTACAGGCAACTAATGGGCACATCAGTCTCAGGAGGAGTGTGTGTGTGTGCGCACCTGTTTAGCGGTGTAGAGTTTGGCGACAGGAGTCATCAGTCTCAGTAGGAGTGTGTGTGTGTGTGTGTGTGTGTGTGTGTGTGTGTGTGCACCTGTTTAGCGGTGTAGAGTTTGGCGACAGGAGTCATCAGTCTCAGGAGGAGTGTTTCTCTCTCACTGGCGCTCTGGTTCTCCTCGCGACCCAGCAGTCGACACACTTCCATTGTCAGCAGAAACGCAGCGCGAGTCTCCACCTGAACAAACACAAACACTTCATGAGTGGCACTACAGAAAACAGTGTGTGTGTGTGTGTGTGTGTGTGTGTGTGTGTATTTACCTCCATTCTGCTGAGTGTTTGCACATGGAGCGCATGATCCTTCAGCATCTTCCCAAACACTGAACGCTTGCATGCGTATTCCCTGCTCAGATGGACAATCCTGACACACACACACACACACACACACACTCACTCACTGACGTCGTCTCTGCTGTGTGTATGATGATGAGGAGTGTGTGGTAAAATCACCTCCTCATGGCGGCCACTGCACACACAGTGTTGTAGATGCGAGTGATGGTCAGCATGTTGGCGATGGAGGCCACGCCGCGCCCCTCCTCGGACAGCTGAAGAGAGACCACAGTGTGTGTGTGTGTGTGTGAGAGAGAGTGAGTGAGTGAGTGAGTGAGTGAGGTTTACCAGCCGCGCGTTCATGCCATCCAGAAGCAGCTCTGCCGTCGGCACCTGCCGCGTCCCCAGTTTATCCTTCAGCCTCTGAACCTCGATCCCGTTAGTCGAGCCGTCAGAGTCCCACACCTCCGCCAGGAACAGAGACAGACCCCGGCTGCCCTACACAGACATACACACACAGAGAGAGAGACAGTCATGTTGGAACAGAAACATCCCTAAACTCTTCATATAAAGTTGGGAGCATGAAATTGTCCAAAATGTCTTAGTAAGCTATTGCACCTAATCCCCCACTTTACACCACTGCACCCCACGCTTTACTCCACTGCACCCCACGCTTTACTCCACTGCACCCCACGCTTTACTCCACTGCACCCCACGCTTTACACCACTGCACCCCACGCTTTACTCCACTGCACCCCACGCTTTACACCACTGCACCCCACGCTTTACTCCACTGCATCCCACACTTTACTCCACTGCACCCCACGCTTTACACCACTGCACCCCACGCTTTACTCCACTGCACCCCACGCTTTACACCACTGCACCCCACGCTTTACTCCACTGCACCCCACGCTTTACACCACTGCATCCCACACTTTACTCCACTGCACCCCACGCTTTACACCACTGCACCCCACGCTTTACACCACTGCACCCCACGTTTTACTCCACTGCACCCCACACTTTACACCACTGCACCCCACGCTTTACACCACTGCACCCCATGCTTTACACCACTGCACCCCACGCTTTACTCCACTGCACCCCACGCTTTACACCACTGCACCCCACGCTTTACTCCACTGCATCCCACGCTTTACACCACTGCACCCCACGCTTTACTCCACTGCACCCCACGCTTTACACCACTGCACCCCACGCTTTACTCCACTGCACTCCACGCTTTACTCCACTGCATCCCACACTTTACACCACTGCACCCCACGCTTTACACCACTGCACCCCACGCTTTACACCACTGCATCCCACGCTTTACTCCACTGCATCCCACGCTTTACACCACTGCACCCCACGCTTTACTCCACTGCATCCCACGCTTTACTCCACTGCACCCCACGCTTTACACCACTGCACCCCACGCTTTACACCACTGCATCCCACGCTTTACTCCACTGCATCCCACGCTTTACACCACTGCACCCCACGCTTTACTCCACTGCATCCCACGCTTTACTCCACTGCATCCCACGCTTTACACCACTGCACCCTACGCTTTACACCACTGCACCCCACGCTTTACACCACTGCACCCCACGCTTTACACCACTGCACCCCACGCTTTACACCACTGCATCCCACGCTTTACTCCACTGCATCCCACGCTTTACTCCACTGCACCCTACGCTTTACACCACTGCACCCCACGCTTTACACCACTGCACCCCACGCTTTACACCACTGCACCCCACGCTTTACACCACTGCATCCCACGCTTTACACCACTGCATCCCACGCTTTACACCACTGCATCCCATGCTTATTTATACAGCTGTGGCCATGGAAGTGATTTGAACACCTGAATTCAATGATTCCAATACTTCTTAAATTAGCATCAATATTCTTAAATTTGTATAATCAATATATTAATGTTATTATAATGTGTAGTATAGTTATGTGTTATTATAACACAAATACTATTAACCTATAAAAGTATAAAGCAGCGATATGCATTTAAACATTTATCCATTTCTCGTTAATGGTTCTTTTAAAAGGGTTTTTGACAAAGCTGCTGACATTGTTTGAGCCAAACACATAAACAACATTGAACTGAAATCTGTCAGTCACACATGTTTATGTGTGTGTCGGTACCGGTGTAGTGTGTCCATGTTCATCTGTGACACGGGCCAGCGTGAGCGTCATATCAGCATCCGTCGCCGACGTGAACCATTTAAAACCATACAGCTTGAACCATCCGTCCTGCTGTCGCTTGGCAACCGTCTCCGTACCGCTCGCTATGACAACAACAGCATCACATCAGAGACTGATGAGTGACTGTATCACAAACGTGTGTGTGTGTGTGTGTGTGTGTGTGTGTGTGTGTGTGTGTGAGTGAGTGAGTGAGTGAGTGAGTGAGTGAGTGAGTGAGTGAGTGAGTGAGTGTCTCACAGACGTCAGATCCTCCTCTCCTCTCGGTCATCCACTGTCCTGACGTCCAGAATCTCTTGTCATCACGTGTGGTCAGACGCTCAAATGCTTTTCTGTTCGGCATACCTAAAGTCTACACACACACACACTCTTCAGTTAAGCTCATCTCATAGACATGACTGATGTGTCAGAAGTAGGACTTTTATTTTGACGGTGCTGAGAACATCAGTGTCTCATTCTCCATCTTCATTAGGTGATTTCTCAGTTCAACAGTTCTTAAAACTTGAGCAGAATAAAAATAAATTAAACCTAAAAAGCATTACGTAAAAAAATGACAAAAACACAACAAAATAACTGAAAATGAAACATCTGGAAAATGTCTCGGTTACAATTGTAACCCAGGTACCATGAGAAGGGGAACTCACACTAGGCCACTTTGGGGAACAGTGTGACAGGTATCTGAAGCACGTGTCTAAACGCTACAATAACATTGCCCGGCGACAGCCAATGACGTCACTTATTTTGCCTGAAGGAGACGTGGGCATGCATACCCAAAACATGGCAATGGGACGCACCTTCTCATTCCCCTTCTCAAAGATCCAAGGTTACATTTGTAACTGAGACGTTCCCTTTCAAACGGGAAGTCGCACTGCGTCCTAGGATGCTTTCAGGAACAAATGCTGAAGGAGGCTGAATGGCTGAATGCTGAAGGAGTGAGAGCCGTAACCACTGACAAAGTCAACGACTCCACAGAGCTGTGTCCGGAGTCACCGCTCCCCGCCCTAGATGGTACACACCAGCTGCTGCCGTGACTCTGTTCCCTAGAGCCAGTTCCCTACATACCCGCGGGCAGAGCTCAGGGCCAGGTATTCTAACCAATACATCCAAGGGAATATGACCAAGGATAAGGAATATCTTGCCTGCCACTTCAGGGGACACTATAGACGAGTGAAGGTCTCAAAACCACTCTCAAAACTCTCAGAGGAGGCCTAGCAACACTAATGGCGCTTTTCCACTACACAGTACCAGCTCGACTCGGATGGAGTATCAAGAATATCCCCGCTATTTTCAAAAAGTTTGGCCAAAGATAGTTACTAAACTAACTAATATTATTATGGCAACTCAGAAGAATACGCTGTGGTCAAACGAGGAGGTGCAGACTTTCCTTTGTTTGGTTGCCAAAGAGAGGATCCAGCGAGAGATTGATAGGGCAACGAGGAACGAAAGGCGTCGCTATGACGACCGGGTACTATTTGTGGCGGCACTGTCTGCAATGGAAAATGAAGTGAAAAGCGAGCTGGTACTGATAATGGAAAAGCGCCATAAGAAAATATCACAAGGAGGCTCGCAGAGAGCCAACGACCTGATAGTGTCTGAGTGGAGCTATAAAAACCGAGGCCTCAGCAAGATCTCTAAAGCGAGAGGAGGCCAAACTAAGCTTTACGCTCAGGACTGTTTACCAAGGAGGCTCAAAGGAGCCTAATACGTGATACTGCTATCCAAGCAGAGCTCTAGGAAGTGGAGGCCTCAGCAGGACGACCCTCTGGAGCGAGAGGAGGCCTAACAAGGGGAGCCAGCTGAGTACCAGCTGCGATCACTCATCTCGATCACTCATCTGCTATAACGATCTCAAAACTCCAGCACTCCCGAAGGTGCCTTACGACAAACTGGGGCGAAAAACCCACTTCATGTCGTGTACTCGAGACCGAAAGAGCTCATCCCAGGGACTGGAGGACCCTGCTTCAAGACCCGACTCAGGAGAGTTTCTGCTCTTCTGCTCGAACCCGAGGAAAAACAGGCTCTCTAGACTCCAGCAGTCATGAAGGTGCCTACGGCGAGGAAGGGTTCGCACACTATGGCGTAAAACTGCTTCCTGATGGGTTTCAGAGATCGCCACCACAGAGCACTGCTCAGATCTAAAATACTCTCTTTGCATCTACTTCCACAGGATTAGGCCACACACATTAGTAATCGGATAAATGATCACATAAGACTGTTGGTGTAATGGTCAGGTGTGCAGATACTCTGAACATTATGTAGTAGTATGGAGTGCTTTACCTCGATGACTTTAGCAGCTCCGTCCGTCATGGCCAGCGGGCAGGTGTAGAGTCCAGCCGACGGAGCAAACAGGTACATCTTACTCATCTGATACACACGACTGCACACACACACACACAAGCACTCTCTCTAGTGAAACCGCCAGTGGGATGTGAGGAATACTCAGTAGCTATGTTTATATGCAACCAAATAATCAATCAGTAATGGGATTGACGGCTCAGTCGGACTGAAAAGCCTTTATGTAAACACCTTAATCGATCGGATTGAAAGGAGTGGTTTATTCCTTTTCTAATGCAACTGATCATGTGCAATGAAGTAGAAATAACGTAATGACACAGAAATAGCGCAATGTAGAAATAGTGCAATGTAGAAATAGCGCGATGCAGAAATAGCGTAATGACGCAGAAATAGCGCAATGTAGAAATAGCGTAATGATGTAGAAATAGCGATAAAGATTATAGTCGGCTGTTTAAAATAAATAAAGAACCAGTGTAGGAGGTTATTATGCGGGAGACTCTGTATATTCCTGCAGTGTGCACATGTCAAAATATCTACTCCTGAAGCTTGTGACATATAAACACACACACCAACCCAATCACATGTTTAGTGTAACCCTACGTTCAGATTAATCAATCACAATGAATTCAGTCCGAATGAAACCTGAGTTGTGCATGTAAACATAGGCAGGGATGGAGTGACCTCTGACCTCCACTCCCCGTAGGTGCGCTCGTATCCGGCGGCCACCAGGCCCTCGTGTGCGGAGATGCGCCTCAGGTGAGCCCAGGCGTCGCAGGTGAGGATGCGGTCGCGGCGTCGGCCCCAGGGGTCGTAGCGCTGCAGGACCGGCGGGTTGAGCTCGCACCGGCGGCCCAGAGCCTCCACCTCACACACCACACGCTCCCCGAAGCGCATCAGCTCCTCCTGCACCTCCCGCACGGGCAGGTGGCGCTGCAGGTACGCTCGCAGCAGTGCATCCTGGGTAAACGGGTTGGTGAGCAGGGGCTGCTCCTGGAAGAACGTACCAATGGCAGAGCGGGAAAACGGAGTGTGTGTGTGTGATTCCAGCTCACTGAGTGTCTCGACCGACACACTGCTGTGGGACACGCTCCTACTGAGCGTGTGCAGAGCCACACGGTTACCACGGGAACACACACGAACTGCCATGCTGAGGCTGTAGAAACACACACACACTGTCTGTCCACAAACTACATTAACATTCTCAGGAAATGGTCAAGTATATATTACTATGGCAACCAACTCTTCCTAGTTCCCTCAGGTCAAAGGTCATCTCATCATCTACATCAGGGGTTTCCAGTCTTAATATGATCATCCATCCTTGTTGAGATTGATAAATATTGTGCTCTCATTTATATTTGATTTGTTTATTTTTATTTTGGAACAAAGCAATCATGTTGCATAGTGTGTCATGTGACCCCTTAGTGATTGATTGGATGCACATGTGTCTGTTTAAATAAACTGCGCCAGTCAGAAAGAAACTGGTTGATGTGAAAGTATTACCCTGTTGTCTGCCTAAGTTACTCTGCTAACAATCCTAAAACTTAAAAGGCAGCTTTTATCATTTAAATTGTATACTACACCATTTTAAAGCATTATTTGGAAATCATTTAGCATCTTTTAGTAATATGTATTTTATTCAAATCAGATTTATTGTTGTTAGTCATGTAATATATATTTACTACACTATTTACATGTTCAGTCCTCTAAAACTGTTTGATCGTTCGACTCATTGAATCATTTGATTGCGCAAGTAAAGCTGTGAACTTTCACCCACTAACATGAAGCCTTCAGCTGTTCTCTTTCTCTGAACGTTCATCCGTCACTTCTCTAACTGCTCTTTATACAGCAAAATCACTTTAAAAACACACACAAAAGCGCAGAGAAAAGGCAACTCTCAAGCACCAAATACACTCAGCGCCATCAGAGCAGAGTTTGAGCTGTATTTAAACGGATTATAAGCTCTGTTTCTGTTATTTTTGGCAGATTTGAGCAGCTCACCGACCGTTCGCGTTCCGAGTTTCCAAACTGCACAGACACTGAAGAAGACTGGACTGAGACTGAGTGACTCAAGTCTGATTCATTCAAGGAGGCGATTCTATCCAAAGGAGACTGGCGACTGAATCCAGAGATTCACCAAAGGAGTCGATTCTTTTAGACGCGAGTAACGGCGCATGCGCTGTTGATTTACTGCAGGCGCAGTCGACACAAACCACAGACATGACAGCTCATGTTCTTTATCCGTTTATGCTTAATGTTACTGAAAGGGAAGTTTAGCGAAGAGTCCGTTCAGTCCAGAGGTCTGTATGAACTTATTTCAGAAGGGTAAACATAAAATATAACATTGTTATAATGACTCTTTTAACCTTACTGAAATAAAGTAGTAGATTAAATCAGAGGAACAGTCCTGTTTACTAATTGAGTGCAGACATATTGTAAATGAAAAGAGATTAATCTCGATTCAGATTCTGAAGCGGAAGATTGCTAAAACCTTGTTTTATTTGTTTAATGAACCTCAAAGAGTCATTTGTGTATCGATTCCATGGATGATAGGATCTTCGTGGAATCAGACATGCCAAGACTGCAGGAATCATATGTCCAGAATTGGGCTCGTTTTCGCCACGGAGTAAAATAAAACAAAACAAAAAATGTAATTTTACTTTAAATCTCACAATTCAGACTTTTTTTATTCTGAGCTGTAAGAAGTCAGAATTGAGCAATAAAAACTGAAATCTGAGAAAGAAATTGACTTTATTTTATTTTTTAATAATGCGTAAACAAGCTTTCATACATCATTATTTACAGCTATTTGCAGAATAAGTTAGACACAACACCAGATAGCACACGTACATCACAGAGACGTCTATTTGATGTGTGCGTTTACATCTGGAAGATGTATTTTTTAGTGTTTGCTCATCTGCAATACGTCTATAGGACGTCTCCTGTCAGATGTCAAATAGACGTTCAGAAGATGTAATAATTTAGAATGTATGTTAAACTGACATCTTAACGAGGTCTATCAGATGTTAGTAAACAGCAGATGCTCCAGATGAAGTGATCTTTAACAGACATCTTGCAGACGTACGTGTGCTATCTGGGTAGGTCTTCCAACAGCGGCCTGATTCGATCTCCAGCCAGTCTTCGAGGATCCCGTTCCTGCCTGTCGTCGTGACACACGCGATCTGGCGATAAAGAAAGGAGTCGCAGGCGGTGGAACGTCACAATGCATTTAATGCAGACTCATGCAGCGTAAAGCGAGCACATGCTAGATACCAGAGCCGAAGCGAGTAGAGTAATGAGATCCCACGATCCCGCAGCATAGAAGCCAAACATATCATATCACCATAAAAATAGCATTTTAGCATATACTTGATAAAAAAAAATGTAAAAATGGAGGTTGATGTTGAAATAAAAAAATGGAGGTAATAAATCTGCTCTGAAGTGTCTTCAGGTCCTGAGGTCATTGTGGTTTCTGATGAGTCCATGAAAACACGTAAGAAACAGATTAAAGACGTAAAACACTGAAACAGGCGCCAGAGTCCCGTCGTCGCGCAGGACTGCGTTTAGTGTGAGTCACTCCATGAGGTTTGTGTGTTTCATGAGGTTTCTGGGTTGTTGGTGAGTGTGAGGAGTGAGCGAGCGAGCGAGTTAAAGGGATCGTTCACCCAAACATGAAGATCAGCCCCTGATTTACTCTTCCTCAAGTCATCCTAGGTGTGTGTGACACTCTTCTCTCAGACGAACTCAATCCGAGTTATATTAAACAATGTCCTGGCTCTTCCAACTTTATAATGGATATTTTAGTCAATGAAGTTTTAAATATGTTTAAATATACTTTTATGATGGACAGATGCACTTTTATGATGGACAGATGCACTTTTATGATGGACAGATGCACTTTTATGATGGACGGATGCACTTTTATGATGGACAGATGCACTTTTATGATGGACAGATGCACTTTTATGATGGACAGATGCACTTTTATGATGGACAGATGCACTTTTATGATGGACAGATGCACTTTTATGATGGACAGATGCACTTTTATGATGGATAGATGCACTTTTATGATGGACAGATGCACTTTTATGATGGACAGATGCACTTTTATGATGGATAGATGCACTTTTATGATGAATAGATACACTTTTATGATGGAAAGATGCACTTTTATGATGGATAGATGCACTTTTTATGATGGACAGATGCACTTTTATGATGGACAGATGCACTTTTATGATGGACAGATGCACTTTTATGATGGACAGATGCACTTTTATGATGGACAGATGCACTTTTATGATGGATAGATGCACTTTTATGATGGACAGATGCACTTTTATGATGGACAGATGCACTTTTATGATGGACAGATGCACTTTTATGATGGATAGATGCACTTTTATGATGGACAGACGCACTTTTATGATGGATAGATGCACTTTTATGATGGACAGATGCACTTTTATGATGGACAGATGCACTTTTATGATGGACAGATGCACTTTTATGATGGACAGATGCACTTTTATGATGGACAGATGCACTTTTATGATGGACAGATGCACTTTTATGATGAATAGATGCACTTTTATGATGAATAGATGCACTTTTATGATGGACAGATGCACTTTTATGATGGACAGATGCACTTTTATGATGGACGGATGCACTTTTATGATGGACAGATGGACTTTTATGATGGACAGATGCACTTTTATGATGGACAGATGCACTTTTATGATGGACAGATGCACTTTTATGATGAATAGATGCACTTTTATGATGAATAGATGCACTTTTATGATGGACAGATGCACTTTTATGATGGACAGATGCACTTTTATGATGGACGGATGCACTTTTATGATGGACAGATGGACTTTTATGATGGACGGATGCACTTTTATGATGGACAGATGGACTTTTATGATGGACAGATGCACTTTTATGATGGACAGATGCACTACAGCCATTCATTGCCATTATAAAGCTTGGAAGATCCAGGACATAACTCTGACTGTATTTGTCTGAGAGAAGAGTGGCATACACACCTCGGATGGATTGAGGGAGAGTAAATCTTGGCTGATCTTCATGTTTGTGTGAAGATCCCGCTAAAGCGGTCTAGGAGGCTCCGCCCGGCCCACTGGCCCCGCCCTGCTCCAGGTGGCTGCTGTGATTGCTGGGTTTGCTGGGGGTGTGCTGGTGCTGCAGGGCGTGTCTCTCCAGCAGCGTGCGGTGGGTGAAGGCGCGCTGGCACACGGCGCAGGTGAAGGTGCGCTCCACGCGGTGTGTGCGCATGTGCACGTTCAGCGAGCTCTTCTGCGTGAAGCGTTTGCTGCAGACGGAGCACTGGAAGGCCCGCACACCCGTGTGCACCACCATGTGCTTCAGCAGGTAATCCCGCAGAGAGAAGGAGCGCCAGCAGATGCTGCACTGGTGTGGCTTCTGGCCTGCACACACACACACACACACACACACACATTATGCTGGTTGAATGCATCATCCTGATAGCAATCACTCTGTTAAGTGGTCTACATGTGTTTATATGTATACAGGGCTCTACAGTCGACTGAAATGACTGCATGCGACTGTGAAAGACACTGACCCGATCAGGCCCGGTCCTTTAGGGCGCACCCTCAGTGTAAACTCATAACAATGGATTTTGAAAACAGAACAGCATTGTCAGAATTTGCTCTATTTCATCAACGAAAATGTTCTCGTCTGTTGCTTTAAATGCTAGAGCTTGTTAAAGCAGGATGGATTTTGATTAGCTGTCAATGTTTTATCGTTCAACAGCTGGAAAAACATTATTCTGAATGTGTTTGCTGTAGTTCTTGCACATACCGGAGTGTATGAACATGTGTTTGCTGTAGTTCTTGCGGGAGCGCAGAGACTTCCCGCAGTGGCTGCAGTCAAAGGACGTCTCGGAGCCCTGTGGTGCAAAGCTCGGACCTGCAATGCACGCTGGGGTGGAGGGGGGCGGAGCCGGGGTCAGAGGAGCAGGGGGCGGGGCCTGCTGGCACGAATCAGCCAAGCCGTCGATCACCATGGGTCCGCCCACGAAAAAGGACTGGCTCTGTGATTCACTGGCAGGAAACTGGAACAGCATCTGAAGACAGAGAGATATGCGTTAGCAAAGCAGGTCAGGAGCGTGTTACGCGATACACACGACTGTAGCGGCGGGTCAGGAGCGTTTTACGCGATACACACGACTGTAGCGGCGGGTCAGGAGCGTGTTACGCGTTACACACGACTGTAGCGGCGGGTCAGGAGCGTTTTACGCGATACACACGACTGTAGCGGCGGGTCAGGAGCGTTTTACGCGATACACACGACTGTAGCGGCGGGTCAGGAGCGTGTTACGCGATACACACGACTGTAGCGGCGGGTCAGGAGCGTTTTACGCGATACACACGACTGTAGCGGCGGGTCAGGAGCGTTTTACGCGATACACACGACTGTAGCGGCGGGTCAGGAGCGTGTTACGCGATACACACGACTGTAGCGGCGGGTCAGGAGCGTTTTACGCGATACACACGACTGTAGCGGCGGGTCAGGAGCGTTTTACGCGATTCACACGACTGTAGCGGCGGGTCAGGAGCGTTTTACGCGATACACACGACTGTAGCGGCGGGTCAGGAGCGTGTTACACGTTACACACGACTGTAGCGGCGGGACAGGAGCGTGTTACGCGTTACACACGACTGTAGCGTCGGGTCAGGAGCGTGTTACGCGATACACACGACTGTAGCGGCGGGTCGGGAGCGTTTTACGCGTTACACACGACTGTAGCGGCGGGACAGGAGCGTGTTACGCGATACACACGACTGTAGCGGCGGGTCGGGAGCGTTTTACGCGTTACACACGACTGTAGCGGCGGGTCAGGAGCGTGTTACGCGTTACACACGACTGTAGCGGCGGGTCAGGAGCGTGTTACGCGATACACACGACTGTAGCGGCGGGTCAGGAGCGTTTTACGCGATACACACGACTGTAGCGGCGGGTCAGGAGCGTTTTACGCGATTCACACGACTGTAGCGGCGGGTCAGGAGCGTTTTACGCGATTCACACGACTGTAGCGGCGGGTCAGGAGCGTTTTACGCGATACACACGACTGTAGCGGCGGGTCAGGAGCGTGTTACACGTTACACACGACTGTAGCGGCGGGACAGGAGCGTGTTACGCGTTACACACGACTGTAGCGTCGGGTCAGGAGCGTGTTACGCGATACACACGACTGTAGCGGCGGGTCGGGAGCGTTTTACGCGTTACACACGACTGTAGCGGCGGGACAGGAGCGTGTTACGCGATACACACGACTGTAGCGGCGGGTCGGGAGCGTTTTACGCGTTACACACGACTGTAGCGGCGGGTCAGGAGCGTGTTACGCGTTACACACGACTGTAGCGGCGGGTCAGGAGCGTGTTACGCGATACACACGACTGTAGCGGCGGGTCAGGAGCGTTTTACGCGATACACACGACTGTAGCGGCGGGTCAGGAGCGTGTTACACGTTACACACGACTGTAGCGGCGGGACAGGAGCGTGTTACGCGTTACACACGACTGTAGCGTCGGGTCAGGAGCGTGTTACGCGATACACACGACTGTAGCGGCGGGTCGGGAGCGTTTTACGCGTTACACACGACTGTAGCGGCGGGACAGGAGCGTGTTACGCGATACACACGACTGTAGCGGCGGGTCGGGAGCGTTTTACGCGTTACACACGACTGTAGCGGCGGGTCAGGAGCGTGTTACGCGTTACACACGACTGTAGCGGCGGGTCAGGAGCGTGTTACGCGATACACACGACTGTAGCGGCGGGTCAGGAGCGTTTTACGCGATACACACGACTGTAGCGGCGGGTCAGGAGCGTGTTACGCGTTACACACGACTGTAGCGGCGGGTCGGGAGCGTTTTACGCGTTACACACGACTGTAGCGGCGGGACAGGAGCGTGTTACGCGATACACACGACTGTAGCGGCGGGTCGGGAGCGTTTTACGCGTTACACACGACTGTAGCGGCGGGTCAGGAGCGTTTTACGCGATACACACGACTGTAGCGGCGGGTCAGGAGCGTGTTACGCGATACACACGACTGTAGCGGCGGGTCAGGAGCGTTTTACGCGATACACACGACTGTAGCGGCGGGTCAGGAGCGTGTTACGCGATACACACGACTGTAGCGGCGGGTCAGGAGCGTTTTACGCGATACACACGACTGTAGCGGCGGGTCAGGAGCGTGTTACGCGATACACACGACTGTAGCGGCGGGTCAGGAGCGTGTTACGCGATACACACGACTGTAGCGGCGGGTCAGGAGCGTTTTACGCGATACACACGACTGTAGCGGCGGGTCAGGAGCGTTTTACGCGATACACACGACTGTAGCGGCGGGTTAGGAGCGCTGTAGCGGCGGGTCGGGAGCGTTTTACGCGTTACACACGACTGTAGCGGCGGGTCAGGAGCGTGTTACGCGATACACACGACTGTAGCGGCGGGTCAGGAGCGTGTTACGCGATACACACGACTGTAGCGGCGGGTCAGGAGCGTGTTACGCGATACACACGACTGTAGCGGCGGGTCAGGAGCGTTTTACGCGATACACACGACTGTAGCGGCGGGTCAGGAGCGTGTTACGCGATACACACGACTGTAGCGGCGGGTCAGGAGCGTGTTACGCGATACACACGACTGTAGCGGCGGGTCAGGAGCGTTTTACGCGATACACACGACTGTAGCAGCGGGTCAGGAGCGTTTTACGCGTTACACACGACTGTAGCGGCGGGTCAGGAGCGTTTTACGCGATACACACGACTGTAGCGGCGGGTCAGGAGCGTTTTACGCGTTACACACGACTGTAGCGGCGGGTCAGGAGCGTTTTACGCGATACACACGACTGTAGCGGCGGGTCAGGAGCGTGTTACGCGATACACACGACTGTAGCAGCGGGTCAGGAGCGTTTTACGCGATACACACGACTGTAGCGGCGGGTCAGGAGCGTTTTACGCGTTACACACGACTGTAGCGGCGGGTCAGGAGCGTTTTACGCGATACACACGACTGTAGCGGCGGGTCAGGAGCGTGTTACGCGATACACACGACTGTAGCGGCGGGTCAGGAGCGTGTTACGCGATACACACGACTGTAGCGGCGGGTCAGGAGCGTTTTACGCGATACACACGACTGTAGCGGCGGGTCAGGAGCGTGTTACGCGTTACACACGACTGTAGCAGCGGGTCAGGAGCGTTTTACGCGATACACACGACTGTAGCGGCGGGTCAGGAGCGTGTTACGCGTTACACACGACTGTAGCGGCGGGTCAGGAGCGTTTTACGCGATACACACGACTGTAGCGGCGGGTCAGGAGCGTTTTACGCGATACACACGACTGTAGCGGCGGGTCAGGAGCGTGTTACGCGTTACACACGACTGTAGCGGCGGGTCAGGAGCGTTTTACGCGATACACACGACTGTAGCGGCGGGTCAGGAGCGTTTTACGCGATACACACGACTGTAGCGGCGGGTCAGGAGCGTGTTACGCGATACACACGACTGTAGCGGCGGGTCAGGAGCGTGTTACGCGTTACACACGACTGTAGCGGCGGGTCAGGAGCATGTTACGCGATACACACGACTGTAGCGGCGGGTCAGGAGCGTTTTACGCGATACACACGACTGTAGCGGCGGGTCAGGAGCGTGTTACGCGATACACACGACTGTAGCGGCGGGTCAGGAGCGTGTTACGCGATACACACGACTGTAGCGGCGGGTCAGGAGCGTTTTACGCGATACACACGACTGTAGCGGCGGGTCAGGAGCGTTTTACGCGATACACACGACTGTAGCGGCGGGTCAGGAGCGTTTTACGCGATACACACGACTGTAGCGGCGGGTCAGGAGCATGTTACGCGTTACACACGACTGTAGCGGCGGGTCAGGAGCGTTTTACGCGATACACACGACTGTAGCGGCGGGTCAGGAGCGTTTTACGCGTTACACGCGACTGTAGCGGCGGGTCAGGAGCATGTTACGCGTTACACCCGACTGTAGCGGCGGTGAAGGCGCGTTTTACGCGATACACACGACTGTAGCGGCGGGTCAGGAGCGTTTTACGCGATACACACGACTGTAGCGGCGGGTTAGGAGCGCTGTAGCGGCGGGTCGGGAGCGTTTTACGCGTTACACACGACTGTAGCGGCGGGTCAGGAGCGTTTTACGCGATACACACGACTGTAGCGGCGGGTCAGGAGCGTTTTACGCGATACACACGACTGTAGCAGCGGGTCAGGAGCGTTTTACGCGATACACACGACTGTAGCGGCGGGTCAGGAGCGTGTTACGCGTTACACACGACTGTAGCGGCGGGTCAGGAGCGTTTTACGCGATACACACGACTGTAGCGGCGGGTCAGGAGCGTTTTACGCGATACACACGACTGTAGCGGCGGGTCAGGAGCGTGTTACGCGTTACACACGACTGTAGCGGCGGGTCAGGAGCATTTTACGCGATACACACGACTGTAGCGGCGGGTCAGGAGCGTTTTACGCGATACACACGACTGTAGCGGCGGGTCAGGAGCGTGTTACGCGATACACACGACTGTAGCGGCGGGTCAGGAGCGTGTTACGCGTTACACACGACTGTAGCGGCGGGTCAGGAGCATGTTACGCGTTACACACGACTGTAGCGGCGGGTCAGGAGCGTTTTACGCGATACACACGACTGTAGCGGCGGGTCAGGAGCGTTTTACGCGTTACACACGACTGTAGCGGCGGGTCAGGAGCGTGTTACGCGATACACACGACTGTAGCGGCGGGTCGGGAGCGTTTTACGCGTTACACACGACTGTAGCGGCGGGTCAGGAGCGTGTTACGCGTTACACACGACTGTAGCGGCGGGTCAGGAGCGTTTTACGCGTTACACACGACTGTAGCGGCGGGTCAGGAGCGTTTTACGCGTTACACACGACTGTAGCGGCGGGTCAGGAGCGTTTTACGCGATACACACGACTGTAGCGGCGGGTCAGGAGCGTTTTACGCGTACACACGACTGTAGCGGCGGGTCAGGAGCGTGTTACGCGATACACACGACTGTAGCGGCGGGTCAGGAGCGTTTTACGCGTTACACACGACTGTAGCGGCGGGTCAGGAGCGTGTTACGCGTTACACACGACTGTAGCGGCGGGTCAGGAGCGTTTTACGCGTTACACACGACTGTAGCGGCGGGTCAGGAGCGTGTTACGCGATACACACGACTGTAGCGGCGGGTCGGGAGCGTTTTACGCGATACACACGACTGTAGCGGCGGGTCAGGAGCGTGTTACGCGTTACACACGACTGTAGCGGCGGGTCAGGAGCGTTTTACGCGTTACACACGACTGTAGCGGCGGGTCAGGAGCATGTTACGCGTTACACCCGACTGTAGCGGCGGTGAAGGCGCGCTGGCACACGGCGCAGGTGAAGGTGCGCTCCACGCGGTGTGTGCGCATGTGCACGTTCAGCGAGCTCTTTTGCGTGAAGCGTTTGCTGCAGACGGCGAACTGGAAGGCCCGCACACCCGTGTGCACCACCATGTGCTTCAGCAGGTAGTCCCGCAGAGAGAAGGAGCGTTACACACGACTGTAGCGGCGGGTCAGACCTGGCTGCCGAGGTTCTGCGAGGCTGGTTGCGGCGGCGAGAGTGGTTTGTTGACACGGCTGCGCGGGTTCGAGCCCAGAGACGCCTGCTGATCCGCCTGAGACCAGAAGCCGCCCGGGAACACTCCGGAGTCCTCGTAGAACCCGCCCTGAAACACACAAACACACTCGTTTTCTGCCGCATGTGTGAAAGTGTGTGTGTGTTACCTGTTTGTAGCTGGGCTGGTGTGAGCCGCGTGTCACTCTCTCTGTGTGTGTGTGTGTGTGTTACCTGTGCGTAGCTGGGCTGGTGTGAGCCATGTGATGCGTTTCCTCTCTCGTCCATCTCAAACAGCCCCTCCCCTTCCTGCACGCCCTCGTTCTTCACCACCACCTGTTCGCCACCCAGCACCTGCACCAACACACACGCATCACAGCTAATGCTAATCTCTGTTTGACAAATGTGAGCGTAGCATTACCTGCAGTCTCAGCGGCTGCCTCTGTTTGCGCGTGTGCGCAGTCTGTCTGTCTCTGTCGGCGTCTCTGTCTGCGTCGTGCGTGTCTCTCTCGTCGTCTTCGCTGAATCGCTCCACCCCGCTCACCAGCTCCTCTGCCACACCGCCGTACTCCTCCGCCATCGGCACGCGCTCGTTCGCCGCGCCGCGCTCCGCGCCCAACATGTAGCTGATCTCCTGCGAGCAGCTCGAGGGCTTCAGCATGGCCCCACCCCCTTCAACACCGAGCCCCTCCCCTCGACACATAGCCCCACCTCCTAACTCGCTGAGGGGCATTAGAGCGCCGACTCCGCCCCCTTCAAGCCCGCCACTCTCCGCTTGAGCTCCGCCTCCCAGAGCGGCCGCCATGTCCGAGGCGCAGTCGTAGCTATAGCCCGTCAGCGCCGCGCTCTCTCGCCCCTTCCCGACGGCCCCACCCTCCTCCTGCTTAGGCCCCACCCCTCCACCAGGGGCTCCGCCTCCACGGCGCTGCGAGATGATCTGCGTGCACTCGTCGATGACGGTCTTGATCTGCAGGATGGAAGCGGCGGTGAGGATGCAGAGAGCCTGCGAGTGTAGCACGACTAGCGAGCCGCTGTACATGAAGTCCACAAGCTGCCGCACCGTATCCGCCGGCACCAGCGGCGGCACCGAGATCTCCGAGTGGCCCAGCAGGAGCTTGTCCTGGAAGAAGGGGCTCCCGGCCGCTAGCACGCAGGCGTGGGCCCGCAGCGAGGCGTCGTGGATGCGCACCGTGACGTCGCAGAACAGGCCTTTGCGCCGCTGGGATCTCAGGGCTTCCAGAACCGACTGGCTGGAGTTGTGGAGGTGGATGTAGTGGACGGCCTCTGGACCCGACGCCATGACCCGACCCGACTCACTGTGACGCTCTGAAAACATTCAAGTAACACCAATAACACATTCAAACATAATATATTATATATTATGGGGGTATATACAGGGTTTGAAATTAAGACCTGCCAACCCGCCAGATGCGGGTAAAAACCAACTACATTTTTCAAGGCTTGCGTTCTCGACCTCCACACTCTTGTTGACAGATCATTTTTATAGCATGTTGAAAATTAGCCTTTTTTTGAGGGTGAGCAAAAATGCATCGTTTTGTGAGTGGGCTCTTTAAATGCAAATGAGCTGCTGCTCCTGGCACAGGGGGCGGAGCTTCAAGGGCTGCTGCTTAGCAGAGCCATATAGACCTTATGCACCAGAGAAACGTGGGCGCCGTCATCTTTAGAATATTGTCTTTGAACTTCCGGTTTTGCGGTCGCTCTGTATATTTCTATGGCATCGCTGTCGATGACTAATTAGCTGGTGAAGTGGATTTACTTATTGTAGAGTTAACAAAAGTTATCCTGAGCATTGTAATGTTTATCATAAGCGTTGTAAAGCAGATGTCTTAACAAATGTCGACTGGGAAATTTTTTACGAGCAGTTCATTCACACCTTTGCAAGATCTCTGTGAAAATACAGACCGGAAGTCAAAAGACAACGAGCGCAGAGCTGAAAAGGGGCGGGGCTACATAAGGTATATAGAGGCAGGGTTTATGTGAATTTTGGGTTTGTGATGTCACTAACCCATGAAGAAGCTTGTTTAGTCTGTACCAGCTGTGTGTTAGTCCTTAAAAAGTTATTTCTGTAAAAGAAAATATCTCCTTTTGCTTTGAAATTTGAAGATGTCGTTTATGCTCAAACAGCAACATTAACTAAAGTTTAAAAAGGGAAATCATAATCAACCACCCCTTTAAATACAGCGTATTGAACAGAATCAGCGCATATCTAACTTACTTAAACACACGTCACTACGCAACAAATAACAGTGCGTTTGTTCATTTGCACTAAAAAATGTTTTTTTGTTTTCATGTTCTTTGTACTGTATTGATCTGTCCACCTAATAAGCATGAGGATGAAAGGGGAAGGCATTGATTTTGTTTAAATAAGAAATCCAAATTTTATTATATATATATATATATATATATATATGGCCAGTAACTTAAAAATGTAGTAGCCAAACTAAATAGGCCGGTGAGTGAGAAAGTTCATTTCAAACCCTGATTATACTGTATATAATTAAAGCTGCAGCCACTCGTTATCAACAGAACTGCATGCGTCTCGCGGAAGAACATTAGCCGGAGCTACTTCTCTTCTACTTGTCTAAACACAAATTATATAAACACACACACAATTTGTTGTATAAAGCGCCATTTAAATAAAGGTGACTTGACCCACACAAACAAACACACATCTTCAGGATCACTTATAATTTAAACTCGTGTGACTGAAACTCAATGTCTACAGGCTGTCACATGTAATTAACACTATATTAATGCAGAATGAATCATTATGCTCTTCTGCTCTGCATGTTTTTTTGTTTTTTTTACACTGACATCTATAGAGCTAATACGGACGGTCACACGCTCACCTGCAGATGTGTTTAAAGTGCACTAACACGCTGCTGCGCGATCATTACTGCTTTTATATCGATCTCGATTTTATTTGCGAAGATTCGCGACGGACCGAACCTTCTCTGCGCTCACGGGCCCTGATATCCGCGAGCAGCCCGTCAAAATAAAAGCCTCGAATATCATATAGCAGCCCGTCAAAATAAAAGCCTCGAATATCATATAGCAGCCCGTCAAAATAAAAGCCTCAAATATCATATAGCAGCCCGTCAAAATAAAAGCCTCGAATATCATATAGCCTCCCGTCAAAATAAAAGCCTCCAATATCATATAGCAGCCCGTCAAAATAAAAGCCTCCAATATCATATAGCAGCCCGTCAAAATAAAAGCCTCCAATATCATATAGCAGCCCGTCAAAATAAAAGCCTCCAATATCATATAGCAGCCCGTCAAAATAAAAGCCTCGAATATCATATAGCAGCCCGTCAAAATAAAAGCCTCCAATATCATATAGCAGCCCGTCAAAATAAAAGTCCCAGACTGTCGAAAAATATTCCTAACATATTTTCGATTTTTTTCCCCCTTAAAAGAAAGCGAAAAGACCATTTTTCCACACAGATTTTTTTCTAAAAATAAATGTTTTTAACGCTAAAAGTTTAATAACTATTAACATAACTTGTGCTGTTTCATCATACTTTTTGTTTAAGAAACTCAATGTGTTGTATTAGAGCATAGTAATGATCATAAGTTCTATAAAATGTATTCTACCTGTATGAATTTCAGTGAATGAATATAAAGAAAACATTTGCAAAAATCCATAATTATCAAATGCCTCGCATCTCTGGAGAAAGACGCTTTCCCCACACAATAGTGTATCAAATAACTAGGGAGTAACTGCAGAAGCTGAACAGATAAACCCAGATTCCATTGGGTTACTTCAAATTACTCAACATGTCACAAAACAAACTGGGCCAGAAATGTCCTTTTATAACTGCAAAATACAGTTAATGTTAATTCCAAGTTAATTCCATGATTGAAAACTGAGTTTTTGCAGTAGGAGCTCAATCTGAGTTAAACACAGCTAAATTCTCAGTATGGCATCCATAAACGTTACTCAGATGAAAATCTCTCAAATGTTCTGTATTTGATGTTTCATGGGTTTATTGTGCAGATAATAAAGATTTGTAAACACAGAGCAAAAATCACTCTAATAAGACATTAGTGTAGTAAACAGGGTGTGAGGCGAGTCGGTGTGTTTGCAGGGTCGATGGGTGCTGGGTCATGCCCGAGTCTCTAGAAACACTGAGCGAGAGTGTTTGAGGAGTCGCTGGGTCAGGCCTGGGTCTCCAGCACCACTGCTGGCTCCACTAAACACAGTCCAGCATCGTATCGGGTCCTGCCCAAACCCTTGGGGTCTGCAGAACGCCTGAATGTGGCCTGCTGGGCCTGATACAACTTCTGGATGAGGAAACGCTTGTCCCGGCCCTCCTGCTCACACAGAAACACACTCATCATCATCATCATCATCATCATCATCATGGCCAGCTGATCTCGGAGACTCACCATGGCCAGCTGATCTCGGAGCTGTTCAATCACACGCTTATGAGCTCCAGCCAGAGCGATCACATAGAACATCCCCAGACTGCAACACACACACACACACACACACAGTTTATCCCACAAGTGTTCTGGTCACTTTGACACGGATGGGATTTTCCTGCAAATTCTAATTAATGTTATTGCACTGGACTAAAACTGAATTTGCTTCCACAGAGTAGTATAACAACTTCATCATTTGTGTGCTTATTTGGGGGGTTATTTTCCACCTTGGTACACCATGAAAACCTGCTCTCATTACAGAATACTGGATTCAAACTTTTATTAACTCGTTTTCTTTGGGTTAGCAGAGGTTTTTTGTCCCTGATTGATCACAGGCCTCAAGTTGACCAAAAAGACTGAATCCAGTATTTGGAGATAATGGCGTAATAAGAGATTTACGAGCAATCTCTCGTAGGTGGGTCATTTTGACCCGCAACACTAAATTAGGTAAAGCACAAGTTCGTAAAGTCTTAAACTGAATAGTAAAATTAAATGTTCACTGCACTCGTAAAGGATCCAGCGATACAGCAGAGAGTAATGAAGATGATGATGATGATGCTAACCAGGTGATGACGAAGAAGGACACGGCGAAGGCCTCCGAGGCGAGCGCTAGCAGGAAGGAGCGCAGACCCTGGGGCAGCTGGGTAATCCCGCACGGCACCACCTGCCATGAGGTGTTGTAGTTGATGAACGGGCCACACGCTCGCGACGCCTGGATCCTGCACACACACACACAGCGCACAGTACACACTGCCATGAGGAGAGCGGACCGGTGCTGAGAAGCGTGTTGTGATGCGTGTTGTGAAGCGTGTTGTGAAGCGTGTCATGTGATGCGTGGACTCACTCTGCTATACTGACAGTGACAGGAACTGACGCCAGAGCCAAGCCGATCAGCAACACCACCAGGAAGAAGAAGTGGGAACTGGACGCTCGGAACGGCCGAGTAGCGGGACGGCAGTTGGTCACCAGAGACACCTGTGGGAGTAACACACCTAACCACATGACTAACCACACGACGGCTCTACATCACTGCCATGTTCATATAACATTAGAGTGATCATGGAAAACTTCCTAAACCGCAACACTGAAACATGTTTTCTGTGAAGCTGCTCTGAAACATGTATTGTGAGGCATGCTTGAGTTGTGACCTTTTTGATGTAGAAGACGAGGACGTATTTGACGGTGTTGATGGCGGGCAGCAGGGGGCAGTAGAAGGTGCCGATCCAGCAGATGGTTTGACCGTAGACGATCTCCAGCACGTTCTGAGGGACGGCAAACTCCTGCTGACCCCACCACCTCACCAAACCGTGCTCGCAGTGGTTCACGATGATCCTGCAACAACCAGACGACTCTCAGACACACACCTCAGGGGAAACTCAAAACATCGGTACCAAACATCTCATACTTCCGGGGAAACTCCACGAAGACGGTGACGGCGGCGACGATCAGGAAGTCGAAGATCACGAGCTTGTACATCTCCTGCCCGACATGAGTCTCCCAGCACTGCAGCACAACACACACTCATTTAGAGACGCACAACATACGTGTGTGTGTGTGTGTGTAAGAAAGAGAGAGAGAGAGTGTGTGTGTGTGTAAGAAAGAGAGAGAGAGAGAGTGTGTGTGTGTGTGTGTTTGAGTGTGTCGAAGATCACAAGGTCATATCTCCTGCTCAACATGAGCCTCCCAGCACTGCAGGACAACACGTTTGTGTGTGTGTGTGTGTGTGCGTGTGTGTGTGAGACGTACAGGGTAGATCTTATGGTTGTAGCCGCAGGGACAGTCTGAACTGTCACAGGACGTGATCTGGACCCACAGAGAGAAGAGCAGCACGCCGATACTGGCCAAACGCATGAACACACACCTGAACACACAAACACACACATATTGAACATAACGCTTGTCACCGAACACACACATAACAAACATAAGGCTTGTCACTGAACAGACACACTGCACATGGATGGGGGTCTCCCACTTCTGGGTCTGTGTGTGTAAAATAGACAGAAGTGTGTGACATTGTGTCCTAAGTTACACAGTGACACGCAGTCTTGTCTCTGTTTCAGAAGAGTGTGGGCGGAGTCTCTCTGCAGGCACACTGCACTCTGCCAATCAGAAGAGTGAGTGGGTGGAGTCTCCCTGTAGGCACACTGTACTCAGCCTATCAGAAGAGTGAGTGGGTGGAGTCTCCCTGCAGGCGCACTGCACTCAGCCTATCAGAAGAATATCTGGGCGGAGTCTCTCTGTAGACGCACCACACTCAGCCAATTAGAAGAGAGAGTGGGTTACACTCAAGGGAGCCACATTGAACATCAGCACAGAGAACAGAAAACCACCCCAAACATCCAACAACATTGTGTAAAGGATACAAAAAACAACATCAACGCAGCAGTGGTAGTAACATACAATCATCAGACCAATAGCTAAAATCAATCAATAAATAATTAATTTAATAGATAATTAATAATACACAATTAAAAAATATCCATGTGCCTGTGTCCAACTGAATGCTTCTCGGCACAAATGATGTAACGCTGTAATATAGTGGCTGTCAGTGTTTGGGAAAGGCAAGAGCATTTATAAGTGTGTGTGCAACAGAGAGTGTGTGTGGTGCGAGCCTTGCCTCATCAGCGTGAAGCGGATCTCGAAGGCGGGCGAATAGTCTTCGAAGGTGATGATGAGGCTGAAGATCAGCGGTGTGATGAAGTTGGCCAGCGTGATGACGATGGAGGGTAGGTACTCCACCACCAGCTCCTGCAGGAATGCACTCTTCTTCTCCTACACAAACACACCTCATTATTAACACCTTCACAAGGCATTAGCCAGCTCCGCCCATTTTAAGCTTAGAAATGCTCTTCAGAACCTACGGGTGACATCACAGACACTACTACAGACCTATTTTGTTTTACAGTCTATCCACAAGTTTCCGAGAGGCGCTCCTGTAAAAAATAAAGTGGGTGAAACTTCCGGTGAGGCGGCGGAAGCAGCATTCCAATGGTGTTTTGTGTGTTAGTTAGCGAAGAGGCTAGCTGTTTTTCGGAGAATTATTTTACTATTTAAAGACGCAAATCTTTATGAGAGATGTCGTTACGGAGCTCAGGGACAACATGCGCTGCTCGCGGTTGTATGTATAACCGGACTACTAATTCAGTGGCTTAAACGGGATTGTTTTGAACATAAGCTGAAAACGAAATCAGAGTGATCCTGCCAGAGCCCGTCTCTGATCCTGCCAACGACTGTACCTTCCATCAACCAACAACTGTCTGTCACCATGCCTTGATCAGTATTGATTATTAATAATGTTATTATAATACTGCCAATCAACTACTGCGGAGGGTAAAGGTACTGTTATTTCACCCTTTTTAATTTCGTTGAGGTTGTGTTCCCACATCGTTAGCTAGTTTGGATCGCTATAACTTGAATGACTGTCAACTGTTGAATGAATGTCAAGCATGTCAAGTAGCGCATTGTTTACTTCCAACCGAAAGTCGCGCCCACTTTTGACGCAAGGCCTCATGGGGCGTAGGAAACTTGTGGATAGTCACAGCTCACCTCCACTTGCTTGCGCTGCGAGAACACTGTGGCTACGTAGATGCAGTAGAAGCAGGTGACTAGCACGGCCATGACAAAGAGGTTGAGCGCAGCTCTGAGCGCATAAATGCGGCACCTCTCACCCCGCGTGCGATTGGCCATCCGGCGCTTGATCCGCTCCTCCTCCAGATCCGTCTGTGGGCACAGGAACACAGGAGTTACGCTCTCATCCCTCAGGAACACAGGAGTTACGCTCCCGTCCCTCAGGAACACAGGAGTTACGCTCTCGTCCCTCAGGAACACAGGAGTTCAGCTCCCGTCCCTCAGGAACACAGGAGTTACGCTCCCGTCCCTCAGGAACACAGGAGTTACGCTCCCGTCCCTCAGGAACACAGGAGTTACGCTCCCGTCCCTCAGGAACACAGGAGTTACGCTCCCGTCCCTCAGGAACACAGGAGTTACGCTCCCGTCCCTCAGGAACACAGGAGTTACGCTCCCGTCCCTCAGGAACACAGGAGTTACGCTCTCGTCCCTCAGGAACACAGGAGTTCAGCTCCCGTCCCTCAGGAACACAGGAGTTACGCTCCCGTCCCTCAGGAACACAGGAGTTACGCTCCCGTCCCTCAGGAACACAGGAGTTACGCTCCCGTCCCTCAGGAACACAGGAGTTACGCTCCCGTCCCTCAGGAACACAGGAGTTACGCTCCCGTCCCTCAGGAACACAGGAGTTACGCTCCCGTCCCTCAGGAACACAGGAGTTACGCTCCCGTCCCTCAGGAACACAGGAGTTACGCTCCCGTCCCTCAGGAACACAGGAGTTACGCTCCCGTCCCTCAGGAACACAGGAGTTACGCTCCCGTCCCTCAGGAACACAGGAGTTACGCTCCCGTCCCTCAGGAACACAGGAGTTACGCTCCCGTCCCTCAGGAACACAGGAGTTACGCTCCCGTCCCTCAGGAACACAGGAGTTACGCTCCCGTCCCTCAGGAACACAGGAGTTACGCTCCCGTCCCTCAGGAACACAGGAGTTACGCTCCCGTCCCTCAGGAACACAGGAGTTACGCTCCCGTCCCTCAGGAACACAGGAGTTACGCTCCCGTCCCTCAGGAACACAGGAGTTACGCTCTCGTCCCTCAGGAACACAGGAGTTACGCTCCCGTCCCTCAGCAACACAAGAGTTACGCTCCCGTCCCTCAGGAACACAGGAGTTACGCTCTCGTCCCTCAGGAACACAGGAGTTCAGCTCCCGTCCCTCAGGAACACAGGAGTTACGCTCCCGTCCCTCAGGAACACAGGAGTTACGCTCTCGTCCCTCAGGAACACAGGAGTTCAGCTCCCGTCCCTCAGGAACACAGGAGTTACGCTCCCGTCCCTCAGGAACACAGGAGTTACGCTCCCGTCCCTCAGGAACACAGGAGTTACGCTCCCGTCCCTCAGGAACACAGGAGTTACGCTCCCGTCCCTCAGGAACACAGGAGTTACGCTCCCGTCCCTCAGGAACACAGGAGTTACGCTCCCGTCCCTCAGGAACACAGGAGTTACGCTCCCGTCCCTCAGGAACACAGGAGTTACGCTCCCGTCCCTCAGGAACACAGGAGTTACGCTCCCGTCCCTCAGGAACACAGGAGTTACGCTCTCGTCCCTCAGGAACACAGGAGTTACGCTCCCGTCCCTCAGGAACACAGGAGTTACGCTCCCGTCCCTCAGGAACACAGGAGTTACGCTCCCGTCCCTCAGGAACACAGGAGTTACGCTCTCGTCCCTCAGGAACACAGGAGTTACGCTCTCGTCCCTCAGGAACACAGGAGTTACGCTCCCGTCCCTCAGGAACAGAGGAGTTCAGCTCTCGTCCCTCAGGAGCTCACGGGAGGAGACGCATGACAGGAGACGCACCTTCATCTCGTACAGTAAGCTGCTCCGCTTCAGCCGTGCCGCGTTCTCGTTGGTGATGCAGAAGTCCCAGCCCGCAAAGATCTTGTTGCAGAAACTCTGGAAGCGATCCTCATCCTGAATGAGCTTGCGTTTGAAACCGGCCGCAGACCTAAACACACAGATATCATCAGATCACATGCCACCTACAGGTCTTCACTCGTACTGTCGACCTGAGACTCGAGAGGGTTCAGGTCCGAAAACTCGGACATGGGTCTTACATTAGCCTCAGGTCTTGGGTCATTTTACTTGGGTCATTCACCACCAATGTGCAGCATCCACCTGGATGATGGGACGGCAGCCATATTGGGCCAGAATGCCAACACACACCAGCTTACTGGATCTCAAAGAGTTAAAGTAAATGCTGTTTTATCTGGCAATCTTCCATCTTCTACTGGCTCCTCCCAAGGTTGTGTCCTCTCCCCCCACTTTGTTTTAAACACAAACGAATACCGTTCACAAAATGATGAGGACAGGTTTTTAAATTTGCAGATGACTCTGTTGTTGCGTCTCTTCTTAATGAAAGTGTGACTGACCATGAACCAATAGTGAAGGATTTTGGTTTTAGGGTTAGATTTCTTTTTTAAACATAAATGTCACCAACACTAAAGAATTAATTATTGTTTTTAGGAAACAGTGAGACAACCTCTTGAGATTGTACAAGAATATAAGTACCTTGGCACAAGAATTGTTTGTGCCCATCAGCGAATGTATTTCTATCGTAAACTGAGGAATTTTAACATTGACCCCACTTGGATGACAATAATTTAGTCTTGTTTTATCGAGTCGGTTTTAACCTTCTGTTTTATCTGATGGTTTGGTTCTCTCTCCATAAATCATGGACATGTAGCAAGATTGCAGGCATCAGCTTGCCCTCTCTCTCCCACATCTACTCTAAAAGAGTGGCAAAGAAGGCCCAATCTATTGCAGCTGACCCTAGCCGGGACAATAAAGTTACCTTGATCATAATTTCTTGGAAATATATTTTCAAGAGTCAACAGAACAATCCAAAAACACATTCAACAGCTAACTCTACAAGCCACTGAAGAGATGCATGCCTATCCCTCACAGCCTCGCTTTCATTCCAAAGATGGTGCTGCCATGAATAAGGCTGAAAGAAGAGCGTCATATACATCTAGGATGTCTTGATGGAGAGTAAATCATGGGGTAATTCTCATTTTTGGGTGAATTATTTTTGAGAAGACCTCTAACACCAGCAGAGTTCAACAATCACACACACACACACACACACACACACAAACCTCTTGACAATCCAGACAAGGCTCAACAACAGGTAGGAGATGGTGGTCAGCAGGTACGCCAGCGGCAGGTTGTAGGTGAAGTGATAGTGAATGAACTCCAGATTATAGTAGCCGTAGAATAGGTAAGTACGCTCCAGAAAGCCCTGCGCACACACACACACACACACACACAGTGTTACGCCGCTGTCAGCAGACGCTGAGCTGAAACACACAAGGGTCTCACCGTTCCAGACAGCAGGTCTGTGATGTGCTCATGAAACGCAACCAGACCCTGACGAGAGCTGGCCGGATACCCACTGCACTCGCTCACTGAAACACACACACACAGCTGACATGAGTGAGTGAGTGAGTGTGTGTGAGTGTGTGTGTGTGTGTTTACCGTTGGTGCTGCCGTAGGTGATGCTGGCTGAAGTGTGTGATGCGAGAATCACTGGCAGCATCACAAACACAAACATCAGCAGGAACATGATGAAGTTCAGAAGGACCAGAAACCGCAGGAAAGAGAAATATGACAGGATTCCTGTTCCAAACATGCCTGAGGGAGACACACACACTAATGAAACGAAATATTATCGAACATACCTGAAAACATTGATTTGAATGAGGACACTATTGGACTTTTTAGAGCTGCTTTATTGTCATTTCATTTCTTAGTTGTAATGAGTGAGTGACTAGACAGGGGTCTATGTATGTATGTTTTCTGACCCTCGATGAGATGAATATCAGCCCTCCAGAGCTCCAGAGCTGAGAGCAGGTCCACCCCGTCCTCCTTCAGGCGCTTCAAAGAGCGATGGACATTCAGCCTCCACAAACCCCAGCCTGTGAGAGCGCCGCCCTGCTGGAGCCGCTGTTGCCTGCACACACACACACACACACACACTGAGTCTCACACATAGGGTTTGGAATCGACAACTTGAGGTCAAGAATCGGATACTTGTTCTAAAATTAACATTTTGATTCCTCTGTGAGGGTCTCAGTATTAAACTGTTCAAGTGTGAGAGACTCTGTTTCTGTGTTCATGCGTGTCAGTACACTGGATCCGTGCAGCTCTTAAAGTGAAAGTAGCCTAATATTCCTGCTCTATAATAACACTAATCAAACAACAGAAGACAAACACTCGTTCTTCACTGAATAACTTTTGTAACTATATTTGTAGTTAAGTCCAGTTATTTTACATTTGATTAAAGTGTCCGTACCTGAAAATCTTAAAACACTTTATGTCAGTCATATCTTTGTTGTTTTTTTTATTTGTTGCGATTGCTCATTTTTATGTATTTTTTTTAAATTACTGAGTGTTTATTTGTCTTTAATAATGCTTGAAGTTTATGTTAGTTATGCTAGTTGAGAGTGTAAGTGTTCCTTGGCTGTTGATTTCTGTTCATGATATCAGATGCAGTTATATGTTTTGCGTGTGAATGACATTTAAGTTGTTTTTATCCCTTAACGGACTCGAAACGAATCGGAATCGATAAGCATAATCGAGACTCGTTAAAATCCTAGCAAAACCCACCCCTAGTGAACATTCCCAAACACTTGACATCATGATGAAGATAAGGAACGCACTTCTCCCGCCGCTTCTCCTGCATGCTCTTGGGAAGCTCCCGCACGGGTCGAAGCTCCTCCCCACTTTGAGTCTGCTCCGCCCACTTCCCACTGCTGACGGACGGCTGTCGGCTCCGCCCACTGCCCCACCCGCTGCCCCGCCTCTTCACGCTGGACTTCCTGCGGTACAGCAGAGACTGGTAACTGGGCAGCTGATCCAACAGGAGATGACCAACCGGAGCGGGCCGATCCCAGAACACTGAGGAAGACAAGCACAGGAGATGATGCTCTCTCTCACACATTCACTCACTCGCTCAGTCACTCACTCACTCGGTCGGTCGGTCACTCACTCACTCGGTCGGTCGGTCACTCACTCACTCGGTCGGTCACTCACTCACTCATTCACTCACTCGCTCAGTCACTCAGTCACTCACTCGGTCGGTCACTCACTCACTCACTCACTCGCTCACTCGCTCGCTCAGTCACTCACTCGCTCGCTCAGTCACTCACTCGCTCGCTCAGTCACTCACTCACTCACTCAGTCACTCACTCGGTCGGTCACTCACTCACTCGGTCGGTCACTCACTCACTCACTCACTCACTCGCTGAACACGTGACGCGCCGTCTGCGATTTCGCGGGTTTGACTGATAATCGTTTTCACCATCAAACCTGTTTCAGGGAGTGTGTCCTCGAGCCACCAGACACTGTTTTATGTTTTTTGCCTTATCGCGTTAAGCGTTGTTGTGTTAAATACTAATGAAGTTAATTACTGATCTTTACAACGGAAGTGAATCAATCAAAACTTTAGCTGGACAGAGCTGCTGTTAAGCCAAAACAATCACTGTTACTTTACTTTACTTTATCCCTGTAAAGCTGCTTTGCAACACTGTTAAAGCTGCTTTATAAATGAAGGAGACTTGACTCTCTTCGTATTGTCAATCCAGCAGTTTCTCTGTCTCGGGTCAGGTCGCTCCTAAGGCTGTGCATCACACACACACACACACACACACACACACACACACACACATCATATACGTTTTTAATTTCAGCTTTGAGAACGTGTGAAAGCGTGTCATGAAACATCTGTCTGTGTTTGATGATTTGAAGAGATTCAGATGGTAAATCTGGCCATAAAAACACTTCAGTTCTGAATGAACAGATGTATGATTTAACCTATAGGCTTAATAATCATACAAATTACCAGTATTTTACTGTAATTAATTATGCTTATAATTGACATGAAATAGCTTATGCCCGTCTAAAACATACTTTTGATTTTGTACATGCTTTTGACGATGTTTTATTTGACTTGAGTAAATAAAGATAAATAACTTAAATAAAAAGCCTAAAAATAATGTTTATTGAACAGTGTAAATATAAATATTGGAAATAAATGTAAATGTACGCACGAAGAAACATACACTTGAAACATAATCCCGTCAGGATGAGTTTCAGTAACATGATCTGATCATTCAGGAACACACACACACACACACACAATATCAGATACAATAGCACCAAACACGTCGAGACTCGCTGCGCATATTTTCCATTGATAGAGTTGCGAAAGCAAAAGAAAGCAAGATAACTTTAATATTACTAGTTGAACCTGTGATAATATATTTCATCAAGAACTGAAAAACAAACACACATTTCTCAGTCAGTGTGGCTGGTTTCGGTTTCACTGATTCACAAACAAACCAAACAAAACTATCACAGCTAGCGGAGTGTAGCCTAAACTCCTCTTCTCATCTCACTTGGTTAAAACTCATGTGTGTGTTTGTGAGTAATTACACGCAAAACTCTGACAGCAACAGCTATGAAATCCAGAATATCGTCATCATAAACATAATAAACACTATAACCTCACCCGCATCGGGCGCGTCCATCATGGGCGGATCCGGACCAAACTCAGCCTGATTCTGTTAACACGGACTCGGTGTTGAGAGAGAACTGTCCATGTTGATGTTGGTGTGTGTGTGTGTGTGTGTATGTGTGTGTGTGTGTATTTGACGTCTGCGCAGTGCATGACGGGCTGAACGAGCCAGAGCGACGTCACTCAAGCGCGATGGGGATCGGTCAATTACTAAAAGGCAAGACTCTCCAGACTTTATGCTGTCACTGCATGCGGATATAACAACATTATCAAAAGTATTGACAAAATGTTATTTAATTTCATATGGAAAAATCAAGAGCTGCTCTTGCCACAGACATTTAATGCTGTTAACATAACGCTTGCAAATAAAAAAAAATTTATTTTATTTTTTACTTTACAAAAAGCTTTTGAAATATGCTTTGTGACTTTAGACCCCACATTACCTAACATTTCTTATGATAGCCTACTGTTTTTTATGAAAATTTAAATATAACATGAGCCAGTTTGTAGCCTACAGTGTAACTGATTGTTATGGCGTTTAGTGTTTTTTCCAGCAGGTGGCGGTGTTCAGGGTTCTGGAGCAGCATCAGGAACAGGATGATGGGGTTATCAAAGGACTGACGGCTTCTATTCCTCTTCAGTTCCAGAATGATTTATTTTTCTTTATTTTTTTTGATTTATGTTACTGTCTAGTCTATGTTTTGTTCATTAAATATTATTTGTTAAATTGAGTTCCATGTGTGGCCTCCGTTTTTATGTTGCTTCACCTTTAATCAGGTGGACGTAACACTGATGAAAGTTAAACATCTTTCATGTTCTTCTTCTCTATCTTTTTTATTTATTCATATTAGTTTTCAGCTCACTGTTCTTTTCTCATTTGTATTCTGATGACATTGAACGTATTGTTTATACATTTTGTATATTGTATACAAGTTGTATGTCATAAAAATGTAATCTCTGTTTTGTAAAAATAAATAAAGTAGAGTTTAGAGCTGTAAGCAGGAGCGCGGCCCGCCGCCGGTTCCCCTCTGGAGACATTTCCGCTGTGCTCTTCTGTGTCGTTTGCTGTGTGTTTCTGTGTTTGGTTGTGTAGTGATTATTTGCAGTGCATTTTGTCTATTTGCTGTGTGTTTCCTTCAGTTGCAGTGTGTTGAGCTGATAACTCAATTAAGTTAAGACAGACGTTTTGTGTTACATAAACCAACACGGTTACAACAACAGAACTATAATTTATAGGCAGAAAAACCTCCTTAAAAGAAACAAAATGTTCCATTTTTACAGTGTACAGTCATATCAGTAATATTGTTGAACATTAAGTGAAGAATATGGAGCACACACACAAACACACACACACACACACACACACACAGTGTTTGCAGAACTGTGAGCCGACTGCAGGAAGGGGAGACAGTGTTTCGTCAGAAGACTAAGAAACTGCTCATTATCAGCTCTTTACTGTAATGCAGCTTAGCCGAGGTTGCTGGATTCACTGTGTGTGTGTGTGTGTGTGTGTGTTGTGTGTGTGTGTGTGTTGTGTGTGTGTGTGTGTGTTGCAAAAGAAACTGTGGATTGATCTGACTAGTGTGAAAGGTTGTGTTCTCGAGAGCTTGTGTGTCATGATGAGAGCAACGTTTTTCAGCAAGATTGAATGGTTATGAGCTTTATCTTCATGCTTCAACCACACACACACACACACACACACTCACACACACACACACACACACACACACACACACACACACTGTGTCCTACCTGAGTTGCTAACTTCCCTTTTCGCCTCTCAGAGAAGACGTATGGCAGAGGCGGGCAGCCTGTTGATTGCTTTCGATATTGGTTTGATTGTTCTTCTGCATCATGACAGTCCAGCACACACACACACACACACACTCACACACACACTCACACACACTCATCCGCACGACACCACGGACACCTGACACGGCTTTGTGTAGTTTTGTGTTTAGTTTTCCTTCTGTTAATAAATAACTTTCTGTAAAATCTGTCTTTCTTGTGCGTCCCAATTTGCCACGGGGCCTAACACACACACACACACACACACACACACACACACACACACACACACACACACACACACACACACACACACACACACACACACACACGCTCAACCGCCGAACACCCGTCCTCATAAATCAGAGCCGCTGCTGAATGGAGGTTTGCGATCGGGTCTGCGTGAGAGTCGAGCTCAATCTGGAGGTCTGGGGGGTCGTGACCCGCTCGGGTCAAAGGTCACGGCCGCGGTCAGCCAATGAAAGACCTGAGGCTCCTCACAGGACAAAGAGTGTGTGAGAGACTGTGTGTGTATGACAGTCTTGCTTTCCCAGCAGGCTTTGCATTGGAGAGGAGTGTCCACACACACACACACACACACACACCTCCTGCAGCTGTGGACGTCTCCCTCATGCGCTTCTCCTGCTCCTCATGGCTCTCTCTGCTCCTCCTGCGCTCCTGCCTCGGTTCTGCCGCTCCGGACCACCCCGGCGTCTGCCCGAATCACGTGAGCCTGAACCTGTGGGTGGACGCGCAGAGCACCTGCGAGAGGCAGTGCCGGACCGACCAGGTGAACACACACTCTTCTCTTCATGACCCTCACATGACCCTCCAGACATCATCTGACATGAAGATTCGTGATCATGAGTTAGACTGAGAACAACTGCAGCTCTGCGGGGGTTTGGAGCTGTTCTCCTCAATTCACACTCTGCTGCACTTTTCACACACACACACACACACACACACACACACACACACACACACACACACACACACACACAGGAAGCCGCTTGCAATTTGAGCTCATTTTGAAACAAGCTTTGCTGTTTGTCACCATGTGTCATGTGTGCATTAGTTCACATGATCTTTCATCAAACACTGATGTGTGTGTGTGTGTGTGTGTGTGTGTGTGTGTGTGTGTGTGGGAGTGTTAAAGAGCTGCAGACTGTGCTGTATTTATGTGCTGCTAACCCTTGCGTCTGCACAACTACAGTGGTGTTATTTAAATACTGTCAGATCATCGACATAAAAAGATGCCAGATCTAGACCTGAGTGTTACAAACTCAGTAATGTAGTGTTATTAATAGTGTGTTGAGTGTCTGCGTGTGTGTGTGTCTGTGTGTCTGTGATGGTTAGGTTTAGGATTATTGTATGTGTGTGTGTGTGTGTGTGTGTGTGTGTGTTTACATACAGTAGAATAGCTGAACTAACTGGTGCGTGTGTTTCTGCAGGATTGCGCGGGCTTTGAGAAGTGCTGCACTTGGCCTGTTGAGCTGCGTGGCGTCCCGCTACTCTGACGGAGAAGAGGGCCAGTCGGGGGCGGGGCTTCCGGCAGGGGGCGTGGCCAGCTGCGACGGGTTCGAGTGCAGCCAGCAGGGGGCGGTGTGTGCCATGTGGGAGGGCCAGCCGGTGTGCAAGTGCCAAGACCGCTGCGAGAGCGAACCCGCCTTCACCTGCGCCTCCGACGGCCTCACGTACTTCAACCGCTGCTACATGGACGCGGAGGCCTGCGCTCAGGGCGTCGCTCTCGCCGAGGTCACCTGCCGCTTCCACCTGAACGTTCACCCTCTCAGCACGGCTCAACCCACGTCCACCGCCCCCGACGCCGAGCCGCTCCCGCCCGCGCTCTACTCCAGCCCGCAGCAGCAGGTCGTCTACCAGGGCGGCACGGCTAGCTTCCACTGCGACGTGATCGGCCACCCGAGGCCGCGCGTCACCTGGGAGAAGCAGACCGAAGCGCACGAGCGGATCGTCATGCATCCGGACCAGATGTACGGGAACGTCGTCATAACCAACATCGCTCAGCTGGTGGTGTACAACGCACAGATGTGGGACACGGGGATCTACACCTGTATCGCGCGGAGCTCCTCAGGAGCGCTACGAGCCGATTACCCACTCTCCGTCATTAGGCGTGACACTCAGGAGTTCTTCGACGATGCTGAGGCGGGTTTGCCGTTGGGACGCCCGTTCTCGCCGGCCGACTGCCTGGCGGATGTGGAGCGCGGCGAGTGCGGAGAGAAGCGCGTCGACTGGTTCTACGACGTGGGCCGTGGGGAGTGTCACGCGTTCGCACACGGAGGCTGCGAGGGCGGCCGGAACCGCTTCGAGACGTTCGAGGAGTGCCGCGCGTCGTGCCAGCGCTCAGAGCTAGCCGTGTGCTCGCTGCCCGCCGTCCAGGGCCCCTGTAAGCACTGGGAGGCTCGCTGGGCCTACAACCGCCTCGTCAAGCAGTGCACGCCGTTCGTCTACGGCGGCTGCCGCGGGAACAAGAACAACTTCCGCACGCGTGGTGAATGCGACGCCGAGTGTCCGCAGCCTAAGCGACGTCAGTGTAAAACCTGCCGGCCGAGAGGAAAGATATTTGCGAGTCTTTGCCGCAGTGACTTCGCCATCGTGGGGCAGCTCACCGAGCTAATCGAGGAGCTGGACTCGGGCATCGCGCGCTTCCATCTGCAGCAGGTCCTGCGCGACGAGAAGATGGGCCTGGAGATCTTCCGAGCGCAACACCTGGAGGTGCTGCTGCCCCGCATGGACTGGAGCTGCCCCTGCCCCAACATCACACAGCACCAGCAGCGCCCCCTGCTGGTCATGGGCGAGGTGCGGGACGGCACGGCACTGGTTCTGCCGCACAGCTACGTCAGACCCGTGTCCCAGCGGCGCCTGGAGAAGATCCGCCAGCTCCTGGCCAGGAAGACTTGTGAGATGCTCCTGAGATCCCAGGACTGATTTTGCACGGATTTAGTCTTACCAGTTAGCCATCAATACTGTTCATGTCTTTTTCAAGTCAGATACATAAAAACGTAGATTGCTTTAATTAGATTTCCGAAAAGTCAAGTCAACTCAGCTTTATTTCAACGCGTTCTCATCCCAAAGCGCCATATAGGACGCTTTTGCAAAAGCGTAAATATCCAACGCACATGGCACCCTTTAACGTCTAATGAGACGCTTCGGTTAGGGTTAAGTTTAGGTAAGGTGTGGGGTAAGGGTTAGACCACTAGGGGGCGCCTTCTGCCCAAAAATATCTGCGTCCCATTTCACGTTAAAGGGTGCCATGTGCGTTGGATATTTACGCTTTTGCAAAAGCGTCCTATATGGCGCTTTGGGATGAGAACGGGCTCTTTATTTATACAACGCTTTTTACAATGACAGCAGCTTTACAGAGACAACAGGAAAATAATACAACAAAGTGTGTTTCCAGAAGAGAATAGCGTCACAGTCAGTTCAGCGATGCTTCAGTTTTGTTGTAAAACATCGTCCAGCTCAGTTCAGTTTTCCTATAATGCTGCCAGTGCCGGAGATGAACAATATTACTGGATATTAAATGAAATGTCCCTGAGAATAGAGAGACCCCTAGCTAACTGCTAGCTGTTCGAACAAGTTCTCAAGACACAGTCTTAACACAATGGCTATGTTTTTGCAACCGGGCCCTGGAGGTGTAGCATGGTCTAGATTCAGTTTGAGGACACACACACACACACACACACACCTATAGACTCCACACGAAACACGCATGTGTGCCGTCAACTCGTCGCAGATTAAAAGTTTACACGGAGATGATCATTTTTTTCAAAACTTGCATCTTGATCCTGTTTCAGAGTGTGTGTTGCCAAGCTGAAAAACACTGAAGTGTGTGAATGAGCGGCCCAGAGTTAATAACTATGATCTTTACAATCAATCAAAACTAACTTTATCTGGACAATAACTGTATTCTAGATCTGCTGTAAAGCCAAATCTGTGTCCCTGTAATCTCCTGTCATCACTGTAAGCCATGTAGTGAATCTGTGTGACTGTAGATGGCCGACAGCACCCGTATGACGCTCACAGGAGCTTCTGTCATCTATCTCTGTTCAGGAAGGAAGAAGTGAGTCAGCGATGACAGACAGTCCCTTAAATATGGCTTTTTATTTAGAGTTTTTTTTCTGTTGCATATTTCTTGTAATTAGTTTACTCAATTCTATAATTAATAATGTTTAAAGGAATGACAATGTTATTATACAGGAAAAGTGACACCCAAAAGAAAGACGAGTTTATTTTTCTTCAATAAAAATGTTGGTAACACTTTAGAATACGGTTCCTTCGTTAATGAATAACTACACAAGAACCAATGAGTAACACAATATTAACAATCTAGTATCTATCATTAACTAACAAGAAACTCTGATTAACAAACTAGTAAGTAATAGCGCACAGATGAAAGTGGTATTTCACTATTAAGTAATCAATAACTTCTATTTTTTTAATATTTCCCAGAGAACTACTGAAAAAGTTTATTAAGAATCTAGTAACTACTATTAACTAAAAGAAACTCTTATTAACGAATTAGTAAGTAATAGCTCACAGATGACAGTGTGACTAGATACTTCTGTGGGAATTACTAATTATTTGGATCTGTATTATAAAGTGAAGATCATTGGAACTAACTAGTAATTACTCAAGAGTTACTAAAGACATTTTCTAAAAGTATACTAAAGTTCACCAGAAATCTCAAACGGTTGCACAAATCATGACTAGATCATGTAGTAACACTTGAGTCATTACTAGTTCGTTCCAATGATCTTCACTTTATAATACGGATTCAAATAATTAAAAAGTAATAGCTCATAGATGAAAGTGTTACTAGATACTTCTGTGGGAATTACTAATTATTGGGATCCGGAGACACAAACATTATTGGCTAAAGCGTCTGCAAAATGCAAGATGGATGTTTTTAATTGATTCATTGAAACTCTTGCGATACACACTGAAGCAAGTTTTCAGTGTGTATCGCAAGTGTTTCAATGCGTTTTGTCTCATACGGCGTCCTATAAGAGTGTGTGTGTGTGTGTGTGTGTGTGTGTGTGTGAGTGTGTGTTAGCTACACCCTTCCTGTGCTGTGCACTTTTTCTCATGATCTTCAGTTCTGATGTGTGTTTCTCAGTGATGAGTACGATTGCAAACACCATGACTTTACCTTCAGTGTTGCTGTTCGATCTGTGAGAAACACACACACACACACACCCTGCGGGGGTGAGAAACAGCATGTTAATGAGGAAATGAGTGTGTGATTAAGACACGAACAGGAAGAAGTGTGTCACAGACAGGCAGCGATGGAGATGCTCGGATGGATTCTGCTCGTTTGGGGTAAGACACACACACACACTGTCAGAACACACTTCATCATTTAGCACACACTGATACACACACATATCACCATACATTAAATATAGAATTTGCGCAGTTTGCTTGTTTTTGCATTTGCGTAGTTCGTAAACTTAAAATTAACTTTATCAACAACACATCATTTAGATCAGAGTGTGTGTGTGTGTGTGTGCAGGCTCATGTGTGTGTGTGTGTGTGTGTGTGGAATGCTTGCTTTAAATTTATGTTAACTTAATAAATCAAACTTTTACATTAAGTTGAGGTGATGTGTGTGTGCGTGTGTGTGTGTGTGTGTGTGTGTGTGTTGGGAACAGGGTGTGGTGGTTTTGTGGTGTGGGTATACATATGTTGACAGGAACTCACACGTGTGAATGCGAGCACACACACACACACACACGATTTACTGCACATTGATGGTAGCCATTCTTTAATTTAATGTCAGACTCAGATACATGATGCCTATATCTATCTGTCTCTCTCTGTCTGTGTGTGTGTGCATCTCTCTCTCTCTGTCTGTGTGTGTGTGTGTGTCTCTCTCTGTCTGTGTGTGTGTGTGTGTCTCTCTCTGTCTGTGTGTGTGTCCACACTTCTGTCCGTGAGATGGGCTAAGTGCCCAGAGCTAGAGTGTGTTGGTGTTGTTAGCGCTGGTCATTCTGTTAGTTCTAGTTTCGGCAGTTTCAGCGTCTTATGAAACTGTCAAACAGGAAGAGAAACTGTGAATCTTTAAGAGAACGTCTCCTGATGTCTCAACGGTCTCTCTCTCTCTCTCTCTCTCTCTCTCTCTCTGTCTCTCTCTCTCTCTCTCTCTCTCTCTCTCTCTCTCTCTCTCTCTCTCCTCCAGCGTCTCTTGCAGAGGCCTTCAATATGGACACTGAACATCCACTGAGATTCAACGGCTCGGCAGAAGAGTTCTTTGGTTACAGCGTTTATCAGTCTGAGTTTGAAAACAGGAAACAGTGAGTGACACACACACACACACACACACACACACACACTGGTTGCTAGGGAGTTTTCTGATTGATCGTGAGTGTGTTTTTGCAGGATCATCGTCGGAGCGCCATTAAAAGGAAACTCAACAGGTGAAATGTACAGTTGCACAGTAGATCTGCAGTCCTGCACACCTCTGCACAGGCCAGGTATCACACACACACACACACTCTGTCATGATCACGCTAACACACACACTCTGTCATGGACTTTCTGTTGACTTTAATTGTTCATCTCCATCTGACTGTGTGGTTTGGGTGCTCATACTGTGGTCTCTCTCTCTCTCTAATGATTGACAGACTCAGAGAGCGTTCGGTTCTTCGGCATGTCTTCTGCTGTGTCGTCTGGTGCTGCCGGACGCTTGACTGTGAGTTCAGCATCTTCCTTCATTGGTCACTTCAGTGTTTGACTTCTGATCACAGTCGCTTCTGTACTTGTGTTCATTGAACTGCATTTACTTTTATACTGATTGTAGGAGAGAAATTGACAACTCACTAAAACTTCATAAACCGTCCCTGAAATTAATTCTGTCATCACTTACCTCGCTCATGCCCATTCAAACGTTCATTCTTTAATGAAACGCACAAAGGGTGAATGTGAAAATGTGGTTCCCTACTGAGGGAACTCGCACTGCATCATCACAAATGGCATTACGGAGCTGCGTAAAGCCACAGATTTGTCTCTCCGGACTACGAAGAAGACGGCCCGTGCTATCAGCTGATGCAGAGATATCTGTGGCTGAACTTATCTGGTATTAAATAAAAAGATTAGTCTTTTCTCCTGGATGTGCCGCTCTCACTTTCTGGCCTATTCGGTGACGCAGTAAATACTGTTGTTGATTGGTTTCAGGAGGCGAGGAAGCAATCTGCCGCGTTCCAGCAATTTCTCCCTCGCCGCTCAAAATCCAAGTCAAAGAAGGCTGTAGCGAGCAGCTAGCCTCAGCCGCCAACGAGCTCTTCGTACCATCAGGTACAAAAGGAGAGCGTTGCCAATAGAGCCCCTCCCTCGGGAGTCTGGCAACAGAGAAAACACTCTTGCTCAAAGTCCTCTGACCAGACCTGAGGACCCTCCTTCAGGCGAAGAGGTCCTAATCAGAGTAGTAGGACCTCTAAGGTTGCAACCGAGGTTGTTCTCGCAGCGGAGGCCTCAGGAAAACGATGTTGGTTTCCCGTGTGAATTAGTTAAATAGGTGGAATAAACGTATGGCAGTACTTTTACTTTCTGAGCCCTGGACTTTACACCTCTGATCCTGCATCACGCACCTCGTTCCCGCATTACAGAGGGAGAGCAAGTTATGACAGAATTATCATTTTTGGGCAAGTAAAAAAAGGGGAACATGTTTGTAGAAAAAATGTTTATAGAAACTATTAAAGAATTTGTGTGATTTGATCCTCCTGATGTTTCAGATATTGTGTCTCTTTCTCAGAGCTGCAGTCCGTATCTTCCTCATGAGTGTGATGGAAACTCGTATCTGAATGGCGTCTGCTACCAGTTCAACAGCAGATTACAGGCCGTCTCAAACTTCACCGCCGCTTACCAAGGTCTGACGAGTCCAGCGGATAACGACACTTAGCACTGAATGCAGTTTAACTATTTCAGTCTTTAATACTGTAAAACATGTGTTCGGTTCTAACTAACATTCCAGTTGGTGTGATGATTATGGACAACTCAATTAAAGACATTATGTAAATATCTTGTTAATAATTTATGGTGT